CTTCTGCTGGAATAAACCCGGGATCCTCTTCCTCGTAACTTAAATCTCGAGTTAATTGTGTCAACTGTTTAGTCTATATTTGCAGGTAGCGATCGTCAACTCTCGTTATGAGCTATCATAAAACCATCTACTATTCCAAGGGAGCTGCAGGGCAAACTATCTAAATATTTTAACTGGATGTGGCAATTACAACCATCTCATTCACTTGTGATTTTCATAAACTTGAAAGTTAAGTGACTTTGCGAGAACTACGGCCGGATCGATTGGTTTTCTTTTCTAGTTTGTATAGGATTGCTTTTCTGTATTGATATCCAGTTTACGACTGAGAATGAAACGGACACAAAAGAATAGCAGAAACTTACAGTTACCATGTTAAGTATATCCTTGTGAACTAGGTGTATATCATGTTTACTCGGAATTTCTTGTCGTACATGTATCTAGTACACTACTTATTTATTATAAATCAACTTGAATCGCGGACTGATGGAAGACCTCTCCCCTTACAACTGATATATCTACGAAAGTTTTGTAAACTCAGAAATGCATTTACACGAGTTTGCCAGCATTATGACTGTATTGCGCACGCGCCAGTCCAGGAATTTTGGCATTGCGATTACTTTGTTCATGCTTGACACCTTTTTCTGACTTTCTTAAAAAACTTAAGTAGACCAATAACCACCAAACCTACACGGTTCTCTCATGCTCGTTGGGGGGTAATTTGACGTTTTGCACTTAAACGTAATAGGGCAAACAAAGTCTTCATACACACCCACGTCATTTTCGCCGCAAAATTACCCTACAGCTCAATGCTTGTGTTTAGCGAACAAAGAATAATACCGGAACCTTTGACTCAAGTCAAAGAAGTCGAATTTTAACAAGGAACGCTCCGTTCACAGAAACCCTCTTTTGGATGCAAGTTTCCGTCTTTTCCCTGCTCTTTTAAAACACATCCAACGTGACCATATAAATTTTAAAATTTAGAATTAATAGTAGTCAGTGAGGCACACCTTGGTGGGTCTGAATAGCAAGCACTGAAGCGAAACCTTGAATATTTCCACATTGTTTTGATTGGTACTTGTCAACTGAATCGTATCCAAGACTACTTTAAACGCGAATCCTGTGGTTTCCCTGCTCAGCGTTGAGCGCTAAAGCAATTTCCTTTGTATTTTACTCATCTGTTCAATACCCACGATGACGCGGTTTCTGCTAACTTGAAGAAAAAAGGAACAACCCTTCGCACTCATTTTTATCATTGTTCAACAACACTTGAGATATAACGACAACTTAACGTGACTGGAAAGACTAATCCATATTTGAAAAAATATCCGTGGACAAGCAACGCCGGAGAAAAAAAATTCCTTTTAGTTTGAGTATCCACCGAGTAAACTTGGCAGTATTAAACTTTAAAACATTTCTGAAAGAGTAAGTTTAACAAAACTGCATCACATTTGATGATCTTATGGCTACATTTTTATTGATACTCAACGTGCGAACAGTGACCGACAGAACGATTCTTCTAAGGACGTTCTGGTTCAACTATTTTCTTTAAAGTAATCTAAGTGCCGATATCCTTGGCTTTAGCTTAATCGGCTACGAGCTTTTTTTTCACAATTTACTTAAAAATGGGGCAACATTTTTGGTGGGATATGGGGTTCACTCTAGTGCCTCTTCAAGTTTTAATTGCTAACGGCCTCCTAAGTCCTAACCACTGTGCTCTCGTGGGTGAAGAAAGTCATTGTCTGAGTGAAGTGTTTTTCCGAAGAATGTAACATCATGATCTGGCCAGGGCCTGAGCCTCTTGATCGGTTGCAACCAGATCATAGTACTTCTCACAGTATAGCAATAAAGTAGAACCTTTTTACTTCCTCCAAACTCATAACTAACTTTCCTTTAGTTTGCCGTGATAAAAGAGTTCCTATACTGCCAAGATTCCTTCCTTGGAGCTAAAAAGCATAAATCTATTCCATAAACCATTGCTGTTGAAAGCGTGTCCTCTTTTAATAGAAATTATAGAACCTACGAAGTAATGCTGTAAGTTTTTTTTCCAGTACAACTTAAACATGTCGAGTAGCGGCAGAGAAAGATTTCAAGTGACGAAAGTTTTATGGGATCTTTCGTGGTGAGATCATCTTGAGCTGGTGTGATATCTTTGTAAAGGTATCCCAGGATTTATCATTTCGTCACGGGATTATAATTGCTAGTTAGGTTGGAGAACTTGGCGGAAAACTATTAAAACATGTTCTGCAAGTAAGTGTCTAATGCTCACCCTTTGAATATCGCCCTCTCTCTGGATTCATGGCAAGCCATTATTATAAAGATAAGTAAACTCTCGATCAGCTAATAGTAAAAACGTTTGCCTTAAGAAGAAATCAAAACTGTTTCTGATATGAATGCTCTCATACAACTGGCTACGTAATGATGTGCATCAAATGATATGTGGTTATTGATTAAGTTGGAGTGCTGAACGGGAAAATAGTTGGCTCGAGGTCTTTACCCACGAACCGAGCGCAGCGAGTATTTCAATTTAGTTCATAGGCACATGCCTTGAAATGCAGGGATAGGATTAAATTATATGCGTATAAACATAATCCACATTTAAAAAGGGAAACTAAAGTATATCGAAATTGCTCTTCTTTAAAAGAGATCAGCAAGGCCTACATAACCATGTTTTAGGTTGGCGACCGGAAGATTTAGGAAAGCGGATGAAACTCACGCACGCTGAACTAATTCTTTTTTTCTATAACGCACCGCTCTGAAAGAAAACTCAAGAGGTTTGTTTTCATGAATTTAACTTGAGGTACTTTGGGGCGTGGGAAAACTTTTCAAGAATTTGAGGCAGGGCTGTTCACATCTCCAATGTGAATAAGTGCGTCGATTCCATGTCACTCCGGCCCTTGAAAGACAATCAATTATTCGCTCACTAATCAACTATACTAAAGATCAACCGTTGGGTTTTGTTACTATTTTTATTTACTGAAAGGAAAATGAAATCATAGTTGATTAGTGGTTTGAAGAAATACTTGTTCAGTTGGAAAAAATGTACTACGAATTTAGCCGGTTTAGCGTGGTGAACAAGCTCTAAAGAAGCAGCAAGAGACAAAGAGGAAAAACGGGTGGAAAAGTTTAGCGCAGATTTTAAATGACAAGCTTGAAGATTCAAACTACTTTTTCATAGTTTTTTGAGTCACCACTTTTTTTAGTAACACAAAGTTTCCCTCTACAAGTGCAATCTTAAAACGTCCAACACATTTGACATAAGCGTCATCATTCCTCAAACTTTTGCAATCTATGAATTCAGGATGTCAGCTTATTGTCTGTAGCGGTTCAAACGGACTGTGCAAATAACTGCCATGTCAGTACATATCTTACATACTTCGTTTATACGCAGTTGTTGTTCTTAATTTGAAAAATCTACATCACATTATGATTTTTTGATGATATTTTTATTAATACTCTACGTGCTAACATGGACAAAACAATTACACTAAGGACTTTACAGTTGACTTATTTTTTTAAGTACTCTTCGTGCCAGCATATAGTGGGCGTTTAACACTCTTATCACAATGGTTCTTATCAGCAAAGGAAGCGGTCCGCTTTTTATCTAATGCGTCCGCCCGCATTACTCTTTTAATGGCTCAAACGTTAAGTTCTAGAATCATGCCACTTGTTGAACATGACTCTGCTCTACTTTATCAATCAAGGGGCGATGACATTGCTTGAAAAGTGACCGTGAGCCGATTAGTGCTTGCTTCCCCTTTCTCGGTCCACAGTATGCCTGTAGATCGTTGTCTCTAGCGCGACTGATGAACCCAGCATCTTTGTATTTTTCCATTCGATTATTCCCATTATCAAAACATTGCAGATTTTGACAAATTTTCTCGAGTTGTCTTTCCTCCCTGTCTGCCTCTCTAAATGTTCGAATTCGGGGGAGACATTATTTTACTCTCAATTGTTGTGATGAATAACTCATAACTAAGGAAGTCGTATGATTTGCAAAGACAGGAAGTGGAAGCTTCAATTAGGAAAATCAAGTGGAATAACTTGGCACAAATGAGCGAGCTTTGCTTATTATTGTCAGCTGCGACCCCTCACTATGATTCTCTAATTACCTGAAGTAAAGTTAACATGCATGTGACGTGCTGGTATGGCAGCAAAACGGATGAACCGTCAGCGATCATGATCATTAAAACAGAAAATAAACGCTATCTATCACTGAAAACACGATCGACTTAAGTGATTTCAGTGAAGGGGAATGTATATATTTGATAATTTTTGGCCATTGAATTGGAACCAGCTTACGTCGCCGACATCAAAACAACGAAGTTAGGTTTCGTGGGAGAAAGTGTTTACAGCCATGTGCAAAAACTAATGACTACCCATGATATAAGCGCCGAAACAACTAGATTGTCATAAGAACAGCAGATTACTCTAATCAAGTGAAAGCGAAAATATCCACACATATTCTAATTTTTCTACAAGAAGAAGGTCACCAAGTTGATTTAAGCCGTGGCCGGCAAGAAGATGTCTCGATCAATTTTAATAAAGCGGTGCTCGCTACAGACGTGTTGAGGTAAAAGTTAAGGAAAAATCCCCCAAAAAGTATCCAAAAACAGATACAAGACTATGCTTGCTTTCTTACTTTTGACTGCTTTTTAGCCTTAATTATCGCATATTCGCTTACCATTCCGTTTTGTTTCTCTTAGCGTTCCGCTGTTACTTTCACGACAACTGATTTCCTTTTAACAGCAAATTGTTAGTATTACTGTGGTAGATATTCTAAATGCAAAGTGGCAAGTGCGAGTGAGGCCTTTTTTACCAAGGAAGCGCTGACTCAAGAATCTATTAAAATGAAGTTTGAATTTTGAAGTCGGTCGCTTTCAATCTGTGCTAAAATTTTCCATCTATCTTCTTTTTTTCCTCGTTGCATTTCTGATATGATGCTTGGTTACCTTGTTAAACTATTATCTTTAAAATAGTATCAGTTTTAAAGTGACCAAGGTTTCCTTCAACTGAAAGACAGCTCTTGCTTAGTTCTCTTTCCTTTCTCGTTAATATATTAAATTAAATTATTTTAATTTATTTGACTTAGTTTAAACCTCCTGAGTAATTTTTAACCTGTTGATTTTGACCGAACTTACGCACAGGAATTTAAAGCTCTCTCGAAAACTGTGCATGTTGTGTTGTTCTTTTGTTTAGAAAAGTATTTTACACCTGGGCATCTATTTTATCATTCTCACACAACATTGATATTAAAAATCGCAAAGCTCATGTGTAAATTTTTACTCAACATTCGCACAATTGGAGATCCTGAATCAAACAAGCAGAGTCGTCCTTTTTTTCTCATGTGGCCCAGATATTTAATTGAACGGGTCCTGTACTTTATATTTAATTGATTAATACTTTAATTAATTAATACTTAATTAATACTTTATATTTAATTGAACAAGTCCTGTACTTTATATCATGCGAATTTTTAAGTTAAAAAAATTCATTTCCTCCTTCCGAAATGAGCCTTTAAAAGTTCTTCACTGAATTAGCGAGACTTATTTTTCTTTTGTTTGGGTAGATATTTTCAGGTTTCATGACCACTTTAGCTCCACTTAAGTGACTTTCTGAGTACAAATCCCAATCAATTCCGCTGTGTTCATTCACAACTGCAGACAAGATAAGTAAAAATTCTTATTCAGCTGATACTAAAAACGTTTCTCCATAAGAAAAAAATCAAGGCTGCCTCTGATGTAAATGATCTCATGCATCTGACTACGTAATGATGTGAATTAAATGATATTTTCTCATTGATTAAGTTGGAGTGCTGAACGGGAAAATAGCTGGCTCGAGGTCTTTACCCACGAACCGAGCGCAGTGACTGTTTTAATTTATTTCCTAGACACATTCCTCAACAAACAGAGATGGAATTAAATTATCTGTGTATAAACAAATCCACAACTAAAAACAAGCAATAGTATTTAGAAACTGGTCTTAAGTAGAAGAGATCAGCAAAGTCGACATAACTATCTTTCATATTCGCAAGCGGAAGACTTAGGAAAGTGGATGAAATTCACCCACGCTGAACTAATTCTTTTTTCTACAACGCACCGCTTTGAAAGAAAACTCAAGCGGTTTCTTTTGATGAATTCGGCCAATAATGGAACACAGAGGCAGAATTTGTGACAGAGATGTTAATATCACTAATATAAATAGTCAAGTCATTTCATTGTCTCGAACGAACAAACTCTTACAGTAAACATAATGGAACTCCAGAAATTGAAAGTTGCCTGTGCAATTTTGATTTGTCTTGTTATAAGCCAGAATATTATTGTCTTAAGGTTCGAAGTGATTCAAGATAATGGCTGTAGAAAAGTTTTGCTACAAAAACCAAATCAAATCCTAACTGAAAAGGGCGAGCTTAACCGTTCAAATGTCGGAGTAGGATACGCAGTCTGTGCCAAGATATGTGGTTGGTGGAGCTGCAGCACCTATTACTGTCCAGGGGACAGAATATGTTGCTGGCCCGGAAATGCAAACTCCAAATGCTGTCCGGCAGACCATCCTTTATGCGTATCGGAAGGATGTTGTCCAGAAGGATATCCAAAGGTGTGTGGTCGGTATTGCTGCGATGAGGACAGCTTTTGCTGCAATGGGGAAAATTGCTGCACTAATGAAGAGGCGTGTTGCGGGAAGGACAAATGCTGTACTGAAAAGGCTCCATGTTCTGAATACGGAGACTCCAAAGAATGCTGTGACGAGAACCTTCAAGCGTGTTGTGATGGCTATGGATGTGTTGTTCCCTGTGAGTCTCACTTCGACGCTATTGGATGTCAGTTGGCTGGTCTCTCACTTTCCTCTGGTAGCGTCGAGACCGTTAGTCCTTGCAACTTTGACAAACGACTTTGGCGAATATTACGACCTGACGAAGTTCCTACAGACGGGCTTGAGGCAAAAGACCCCAAAGCCTCTAAAACAGTTCTATCACACGTTAACTGTGGGAGTCTGAAAGGGTACGCATCGCAGTACATATCAACAACAGCATCTTACGAAGTTGCAAAGCATTATAAGGCAATGGGAAAGAAAAAAGGTTTGACCGGGTTACGAATCGCCGAAATTGACCTTGACGCTTTACCGAAGCATTGCAAATTGGAGATAGTGGACTTGACAACCGAGGAAAACCGAGACAAATACTTAGGAAATGCTGTATGTAAGAATTTTGCCAAGGCTTCTTGTGAGGTGCTTCTTGCATGCGATGTGCCAATCCCATGCCACGTCGTTGATTCCCCTGAGGATAAAATCTCTTTGAAAAACTCTGGAGAACTGTGAGAACTTTTTAAGCACTATTTTAAAAAAGTGCCCAGCTTAAAGATTTATCAGTAATCAAGGTTCTCTTAAGCGAGCGGAGGTAGGGTAATACACCTTGTTAAAATGTTACATCAAAGTCATTTCATTGCAAGGGTGTGTTCTTATAAAATTTCGATCTATTGCTGGTAGAAAAGTGTGTTGTAGGATATACATTTTAAGTTCTCTCTTCCGAGTTTATGTCAATTCGATTTAGATGGATTTTTTCTTGTTATAACTTTACGGATTGCTTTTAATTAGCACGCACTGTGATAATCGAGCCTAGTACGAGCTTTAAGGTCAGGCCGCGAGGCCACATTGACTGTATGTAGTGAAATCTAAGAAGGAAACTTTACCTTGGTGTTTGTAACATAGACAGACAATTTGAAAATAAAAATTGTATTCATCAAGCAGCCTTTCTTGAATAAAGTAGAACAATATACAGGGTTTACGTACTTTTTTAATTGTTCCTGAGAGCTGGTGAAACGAAATGACAGTTGTTTGTTTTGGCTCTTACAACAAACGGAAAATATTTCAAGTAATCAGCTCCGAGACAATGTATTTATTTTCGATAGTTTTAAGGGATGGTGGTTCTGTTATTTTGGCTCAGTTTTATCTTGAGAATTTAATTGTTACAGTTTTCCCATTAAGAACAAAACATTGGCTCGTGTGGAAACCAGCGCTTGGAATTCAAGTCGAGTTGTCGAGTAAGAAAATGCATCGTAACATAAATATCCCCTTTGCATTTGTCAAGAGGCAATTTAAAGCACTTTGTGAGGGCGTAGGGACGGTCGTAAGACGCGAATGAATATAAATGACAAGAACTCGAAGATCTCTAGCATACCACTAATGAAGCAATAACGTGTAACACCCCAAAGGAAGGATTACATAACCCACGATAGATACATTTATGATCTCCTCGAGATCGCTACGTAGTTCGTCATCGTTAGTAATTTGACAACCGTGACCGGCATTCGATCTCACGCAATTTTTGAGTGACAATATTTGCAACACAATGAGCCCTGAGTAAGGGACATGACCGAGCTTTAGACATAAGATTTATATATCACTTCGGGATCGCCTAGTAGTTCCTAATCGACATAGAACAGTTTCGATCGTGTAGCTAGGTTCTCTCAATTTGTTCAATTTTCAGAAAAATATCATTCTGTCGTTAGAGAACTTCGACTGGCTGCCGATCATATAACCACAGAGCGTACAACTATCGCGAAACAAAAAAAACTTTACTTTTTTGGAAAAAAATATAGCTTCATTCAAACCTCAAACGACAAACCAAAACGTTTATTCTTGTAATACAATTGTTTCCCTTTTGTGCCCGTTTCATGTATTTTTGCGATCTTGAAATACCGTGTGCTCACAAGTTCGTTTTGCTAGCTTGAGGTTGTTTATATTTCTCAGTTAAAGACCCCATTTACTTCAGTCATTTCAGTGGTGACTTATCCGTAAATATGAACATTTCGGCGAGAGAAGAAGGAACTTCGACCATAAGATTCACAAATGAAAAACTTATACTTTTTTACTCTTTCAAGATTATCATTGGCTTCTTTTTCACCCCAACACTATTCTCAGCAACAAAGGTCGCCATTTCATTTGTTTATCACTCGCCAAAAATATCAAATGCATTCAAAAGCCTAAAATAGAAAACATTTTACAGGAATCGACCAATCGAGCGAGCGAGCGAGCGCCATTCATCACATCATACCTACAACTCGCTCTTGCGAGTTAAAAATAATCAAAATAACTTCTTAAGTCTTTGTTAAGTGGCCTTTGGAATGAAAATGTTTTAGGCGTTCGTGATCATACCCTGACAAGTAGATGTAATATAAACAAATTAACTGAATAATGTTAGAATTTCTAAAATCGTAACCCTTGTATTTACAAACCTAAATACTTATCTTTACGTTTGCTTTCTGAAATAATTTAATCCTTCTATACTCTAGTTATGAATGAATCAAGAGGGTTAACTTCTCATGAGAAACTTTGGTGCTGTGTCGGTGGGGAGGGAGTTTAATAGGGTAATTTGATTTTATTAACTAAGTTAATAATGTAAATTGGCCACCGTAAAGAGTTTCAGAGCTAATGATGAGAGTTATTTAAAGATTCGAAGAAAAGTAACATCTTAAGTATACATTTAAGACAGATAGAAACCGAATACAAGGAGAATAACCTTTGAAATCTATATACCATGGTAGGAACAACTCCACAAGTGAATATAAAAAGTGTAAGCTACAAGTACGTGTCGAGGCATAAATTAATGGAACCCTAAACCTTCAACCGCATGAAATTGTGAAATTCACAAACGCGAAAAATAATTTCGTACAATGGGTCGCTCAATAAACGCTTGAAGCATCTTTATCTCATTACTTGTGCTAACGCAGTATGGGTTCAAAAAGCATTGAGTGGCCTCTAAGCTTGAAGTGACAATAGCTTCCTGGATAACAGTAATTTTCTGCTGAGACCGTTGAAAACACCACTGTGGACAATTTGAAAAGAAGTTACTCGATAAGACTGTTCAATGCAGCAGGGGATTAAAAGGAAACGCATTCCTGTCTGCTATTGCCTCTGTCGTACAGTTTTTTTCCAACACAGATAACGACTCAGTCTTTGCCATCGTGCATAAGGTAAAAACTTGACCAGGTTTCATTTTCAGAAATTCCCTCAAAGTAATTCCGGCAGATTACATGATGCTTCCAGGGTTCATAATAGGAGAACATGGAAAGATTCCGCCTTTCAAGAAAGAGAGTGTTCCAGCCTTCACTTTAGTTTTGTCATAATACAGTCTGCGTAATTCTGATAAGTATTGTAATGATCTATAAACGCAATCCTTAATCCTGACTTTCCGGGAAAATCAAATGTTTATTTTGTTAAAATCTTTCTCTTCAAGAATTCTTTAAACAAGTCATGAGGCCATACTTTGATGAGCCGAGCTATGTACGTATATCTAAGTTTACTTATGGTAAACTCGGTAGTCTCATAACGATGATCTGAACATTTTAAGAATTGAAACAACCTAAAAGAAATCTCAGCAATACTTTGTAAGGACGTTCGAATGGTTAACGATCCAAGTTTAATTGTTAAGTGAAGTCGAATGCTTGAGTCACGGTTTCACCACATGGTCGTCAGAGCACAGTATGATTAAAAGGTTTGGCAAAATCAATAACAAACTTTTTTATGTAAAGAAAAAGAAAAAAAAAAAGAAAACTGAGCTACTACAGGATAATCCTACATGTATGCAGCGAAAGCTGAGCCCCTAAAAAAGGGAACACAGTCCCGAGTCTGGTAGAAAATTTGCGTGACTCTAACCCAGTGTTCTTCTGTAGTGGATAGCATCACTGTTCGTGAAGGTTTTATCACTTTGAAATGTGTGATCAGGTTTTCACAAAAATCAACAGAGAGACAAGGTTTGACTGAATTACGACCAATGATACCTCATCCAGCCCTTTAGACGTTGCTAACTTATTTAACCGTTACTTTACATCAGTATTCAACGAAAGTTCAACCCCTCAACAACGCACCTGTACCAGTGACCCACCAACGTTAACAGACCTGAGCTTAACTGCAGAAGAAGTTAAAGATATTCTTCATTCATTAGATTGTTCAAAGGCCACTGGCCCTGATGGAATACCAGCAAAACTACTCAAAGAAACTGCTGACGTTATTGCACCTTCACTTTGCTTGTTATTTAATCGATCACTCAGCTCTGGCACCATACCAAAGGAATGGAAACTGGCCAACATAGTCCCTGTTTTCAAAAAAGGCGATCGTCAACAAGTAGTCAATTATCGACCAATATCTCTGCTACCCATAGTTTCTAAAGTATTGGAAAGATGTATTCTGAATAACATCCAAACTCATCTATACAACTACGTGGGTAAACATCAACACGGCTTCTTAACAAGAAAATCTTGTACAACCAACCTCATCGAACATTGGATCGTATCGGCCGCCTGCTTGATAGAGGAAGTCAGATTGACGTCATCTATCTGGACATGTCAAAGGCCGTTGACAAAGTGAACTACGCCCAACTCTTGTCTAAACTTCATATCTTTGGTTTTGGAGGGAAACTATACCAATGGTTCCAGTCGTACCTCACAGGTCGTCTCCAACGCGTTACTGTTCTTGGCGCAACATCTTATGCATTACCTGTTACATCAGGAGTCCCCCAGGGGTCCATCTTGGGACCCGCTCTGTTTTTGCTCCACGTAAACGACCTTCCGAACATGGTCTCCGAGAGCGAAACTGTAATGTTCGCAGATGACACCAAATTGTACAAAGAAATAAGATCTACTGATGATGAAATTGCTCTCCAGATGGACTTAAATAATATCGGATCTTGGTCCACAGAATCGGGCTTAGAATTTAATGAGACGAAAAGCCACCACCAATCCATCACACATAAAATCAAGCCACTGAATACTGCCTACGATATGAATGGAGCTATGTTGGAGAAAACAAGTCACGAACGCGATCTTGGTGTCTGGGTCTCCACTGACCTAACATGGAATTGCCAAGTCTTAGAGCAATGCTCACGCGCAAACGAGCTGCTTGGGTTTGCTAAACGAAACACGTGTCACATACAAACTACCAGTGTAAGAAGATCAATCTATCTAACCATCGTTAGACCTCATCTGGGCTATGCTACACAAGTTTGGGCACCACAATCTATTTATCTTATCTCAAATCTAGAGTAGATACATGGAAGGGCTACAAAATACATCTTGAAATTACCATTCTCGTGCTCTCAGAGTTATGAAGAACGACTAAAAACTCTTTCCTTACTACCCATTAGCTACTGGCATGAATACTTAGATATGTTACTGTTTTTTAAGATTACCCATGGTTTGGTGGATATAGACCCTGCAATTGTTCCTACTCCCCGTTCTACAAGACACACACGATCGTCGGCCAATACAACTGTTACTAAGTACTTTGTACCTAAATGCAAGACCTCAACCTTTCAACGGTCATTTATTATACGAACAATAAGAATCTGGAACACATTGTCTGACGAGCTTAACTTAAGTATGAACAATGTGAGTGACTTTAAACGTGTTTTGATGTGTTATTATTCGACCGCACTTCGAGAGATCTATGACATTGACAATCCCAGGACTTATAAAACTATTTGTACAAAATGCAATTCATGTCTCAGCCTGAAAACAACACCAACTCTATGTTGCTCTTAATTATTAATTATTGATGTGATCGTTTTACCATAATATTTTAATACTTTTAGGACCACAGTCATTGGCTATCGCTGTTGTGGCTACCTGCCCGTTATTGTTATTGCTATTTTATTTTATCCGGCTGTGTTATAGGTTACATGTATTGTTGGCTAAGCTAATAAATTAAAATAAAATAAAATATACTGACCTTGATTCTCCGAACAATTATATTTTGCTTTGCTTTTTGTTTCAAGACTTACTGTTGCACGAACAGACGACACAATTACAGTCGTTCGGTAATCCCACCTCTGGAATACATAACGAGGTACAAAAATAGATGAACGGTGGCAGAAACAGCTTGAAATCTGAATACAATGTATCTAACCAACGGTTTGACGAACGTCAGTAACAAATTATAACCTGGAGCAACATTTTACGCATGATTTATCAAAGCCAGAAATATTTCTCTGTTGAATATATTGATATTGTTGATGTAGTTTTTATAATAATTTGTTCGATGAGTTGTGATACAGCTGTAGCTTTTACAATAACCTCACGCTCACCTAGCTCTCGCATTCTTGCAGTTTTTCGCTTTCTTTTAGGTCCGTTTAAACCCGAAATGTAGTGTGTTTTCAAGCAAATATTGATTATCTGTTCAATTCCAACTTGATTTTGCCTAGCTGACTTGCATGGTTACAAAACTTCGCTTCTCTTTATAATACTGAATTGCGAACTAATTTTTTTTTTTTAACAAGTCGCCGATAAGGCAACCACAGTACCATTCTTTCACGATAAATTTCTTCGCTTTTAAGGTTGGCCTTTTTTTCTCTTCTAAACTCGTCCAAAATAGTTTCTAGACAGATTGTAAGATCCAGAATTAAAAATGATCCGGCTACAATTATACATACAACTGTTACGGGCCGTGTGCTTGAAAAGAAAAAAGAATAAGATGGCAAATACAAATATTTAGTTTGTGGCTTTATTATTACAGACACTGACAAGGGAACTAATAACAACGTCAATAAAGCTGTATTGCGTAAGAGTAACTTAACACTGAGATTAACCGTATGCGGCTAAAGTTTTTACACCGAGGCATCTATTCTGTCTCTCCTACACAACATTGATTATAAAAAATGGCAAAGCCAGATATATATTTCCGCCATTTACTCAAAAAACTAGAAATTCTGGATCAGTTATACAAGCAGAGGTGTTCTTTCTCTTCATTTGGCCCAGATATTTGAATGAACGGTTCCTGTATTTTCATATCATGCGAATTTTGCAGCGGAGGGCTTTTGACGAAATAACATTGGCCCCGGAATATCATGAGCTTTTCTAAAGCTCTTCACAGAATCCCTGCGCCTTATTCCTCCTTCGTTTGGGTAAGTATTTCCAGGTTTCAAGACCACTTTAGCCCCACCATAGTGAGTTTCTGAGTACAACTCCCAACCAGTTCTGCAGTGTTCATTCACAATTGCTGACAAGGCTCCTTCCGGAAAGTGAGCGGTTAAGTCATCGCAGCTTTTAAAGAAAACCTGTGAAAAAGAATTGTGACTGGCGATTATTGTGCTCGTTTTCAAGGGCTTAGAAAAACTTTCAGCTATTTAGCCAAAATGTGTACACAAACAAGTCCCGTTCGTTTATATTATGCGATTGTTGCGTTTTCTGTGTTTGTTTGTTTGTTTTTTTTCTTTTATCGACTACGAGCTTTTTTCGGTTTACAACTTACTCGAAAATGGGATTTGATATTTTTAATAGGAAAACATCAGCAACGATTTGTTACATTATAATGCGGGTAGTAACCCAGGGCTTTCGCCACCAAACTTATCCAGACTTTCACTGCAAAAGTCATGTTTCCTCCCTTGGGTGGGGTCTCGATTTCCCTTCGGCGTCTCTTCAAGTCAAGGGCGTAACCAGGGGGGGGTCCTGGGGTGCCCGTGACCCCCACTTGGTAGGTCTTCTTTAGAGCAAATAACCTACATTATTCAGGTGACGAAAACGCCATGACAATAAATTGGCCGTAAAAGCCATTGATATGGACCTTCATGCCGCGATAATACGACTGAGCCCGCTGATACACGCGGGAGAGCAGCGGTGTAAATGGTGAGTAGCCTCTGTGATCCCCCCTTTGATAAATTCTGGCTACGCCCCTGCAAGTTTATTAATTAATGGTTTCCTCGGTAATAATCAAGCGCTCTCCCGGCTGAAGAAAGTCATTGTCTGAGTGTAGTGTTTTTCCCAATGATATAACATCATGATCTGGCCAGGACCTTAACCTCTTGACTGTTGCTATCAGATCATCGTATTTCTCACAGTATAGAAATAAAAAAAGTACCTTTTTATTTCCTCCAAACTCACGGTTTTCAAACAGCTTTATAACGAGTCGTTGCTGCAATTCGACAAGACGAATTCCACGGTAAAATGAGACAGCAAAAAAATCATCTGATTGATTTTCATTCTCTAAATGTGCCTGAAGTAGTTTTTAATTTTTGTATGCTTTGGTTTTTCACTTTCTATTCTTACACAATTCTCACGCGGTTATGTTGGGTCAAAGGTTACACTTTGAGTGATATCCTCTCGACATTTTCATAAACGGTTGAGTTTCTATTGCTTGGCCTTGATAAGAGAGTTCCTATATAGTAAATATTCGTTCCTTAGATGCAACTTGTTGGGAAAATTTTCAAGTCCTTAGTGCAAACTAATTCTACAGCGCCTACAAACCAGCGCTGGAACAGTATTAATATCAACTTAAGATAAGTTTAGGAAGGTAAATTAATCCTTACAGGTGCCTTTCGGAAGCTCCTCACGGGACTTTTGAGTCCTATCTCATTCAGCGTCTCATAGTCACCAGGATATAAGATTTCTACCTCGCCCTCAAATTGGACATCAGTGAAAATCTGCCAAGGCTCTGAGTTTTGTGGCACCAAGATTGACGCGGCGCCTTTAGGTAAATACTTCGTTAAGTCTTCGCAGCTCGCACTGAACTCCTATGAGATATGTTGATTGTAATAATTTCAAATGACAACTTACATTGCTTTTTACATAAAGGTATTTCTTGAATAACACTGACAACCTAATTCACGGGTAAAATTCTCTTCCTCAACTGAGAAAAACAAATGAAGGTATGAAGTTTAAGTCTTCTTAGGGGTGTCACTTGAATTTTTTTCTGAGGTATCACATTCGTGACAAATGTCAACAACTTTCCTTATCTTAACTCATGCGGCAGAGGATTTGAAAATCGTATAAACACTTGAACTGAGTCCTATATCCAGATATAGGGCAAATATATTACCGTACCTTCTTTCTTCCTCCAAGCTCAGGATTTTCATAAACCTGTATTCTCATGATATGCAAGAAAAGAAGGCAAGTAAGCACAAACGGATCTAGCTATAGCAAAAAGCGTAAAAAAAAAAAAAAATTTTAAAGAAAATATAGCATCGTACGAGGCAATGGGGAGAGTTGTTCCTAATGTAAGTCAAACATGTAGAGTAGCGGTAAATTAAGACAGATTTGAGATAAAAAAAAAATTTTTATGGATCTTTCCGGGTGAAATCATCTTGAGCTAGCGTAAAATCTTTCTAAACATATTCCAGGATTTATCCTAGTTATTAAAATTGCCGGTTCGGCTGGAGAACGTTGTAGTCGAAATCCACAAACCGAAGAGATTCGCAATCTTACTAGCGATTCGCTCAAGGCAAATGTACATAAACGAGCTAAATATACAGAACAAGAAAGCAAAACGAAATAAAAATAAAACAGGCAAAATGACGGATAAAATAACGAACCTTACAAGATTATGTGGCGACTACGACGACTAAAACATAATGACAACGGCGACAAGAAAACTACGGCAGAAGAAGCTATACCAAACAATAGAAACAATATACACAAAAAATATAATGAACACGAAAATATGACAAATATACACGGAACAACTGAAAACGGAAAACAATGTACAAAAGGCGGGAAGGCAAACGAAAGTGAGGCGCCGTGACTACAAACGTGGCGGAGAACGCGGTGGAAACATTGAATTGTTAAAAACATGTTCTGTAAGTTAACCAGTGTCTAATACTCACCCTTTGAATTTCACTCTCTGTGAATTCGTGATAAGCCATAATAGCAAAGATAAGAAAACTTTTCAGTGATAAGCTATGACTAGAAACGTTTGTCCTTAAGAATAAATCAGAATTGTTTCTGATGCGAATAGTCACAAGTAACTGGCTACTTAAAGATGTGTATCAAATGATATGTATATATTGATTAAGTTGGAGGGCCGACCAGAAAAATAGTCAGCTCTAGGTCTTCACCTGCGGATCAAGAAAAGTGAGTATTTCAATTTATTTGATAGGGACATGCCTTGACAGTTAGGGATGGAAATTAAAACAATTTTACGACTGAAAATGGAAGCAAAAGCATTCAGAAGTTGCCCGTCAGTAACAGAAATTAGTAGAGTCGACATAAACATGTTTCAGGTTGACAACCGGAAGATTTAGGAAAGCGGATGAAACTCATGCCACACACGCAGAACTATTTTTTTTTTCTACAACGCACCGCTTTGAAAGAAAGTTCAAGAGGTTTGTTTTGATAAATGTGGCCAATATAGAGCCTGAAGCAGGTTGTGGCGTGGCTAAGGCGAACGTTGCAAGGATTTGTGACAGGGCTGTTTATATCACCGATGTAAGTTATCGATTCACTGCCCCGTCTCGCCCGTATAAAAAAACAAGCAATCATTCGCTAACTATACAAAAGAAGCAACACTCAGGTTTTCGTGAATTTGCCAATTTCCGCTCGAAATGATTATGTTGGCAAAAGACTCGAGAGGGTTTGAGCAATAATTAAATGAATGAAAATAGTTTTTCAGCTTTACGAACTTAATTTGACTACCTTTTATTTCAAGAGGGTTGTTTTGATGAGTGTGGCCAATATACAGCCTGAAGCAGGTTGTGGCGTGGCTTAGGCGAACGTTGCAAGAATTTGTGACAGGGCTGTTTATATCACCGATGTAAGTTATCGATTCACTGCCTCGTCTCGCCCGTATAAAAAAACAAGCAATCATTCGCTAACTATACAAAAGAGGCAACACTCAGGTTTTCGTGAATTTGCAAATTTCCGCTCGAAATGATTATGTCGACAAAAGGCTCAAGAAAGTTTGAGCTGTAATCAAATGAATGAAAATAATTTTCGTTTACGAAGGTAAAATGAAAAGGAATTTATTTCAGGGGGCATGCCTTGAAAAGCAGGGTCGGCAATTAAATCAGTTATATTAGTGTCATCGATGTAAATTATCGCTGCATCATTGTGAAGCCCTATGCGATAAAATCTTTTCTCGGGGTGTGTTCAACTGGCATCTCAATAGAAAATTCCTGTTTTTCTATTCACTCATTATTTCAAGGTTAGAGGCCACTCAATGCTTTGTGAGATACTTCATTAGCACTGGCAATAAAGGAAACAATCTCTGCAGTTTCTGTTGGGCTGCCCATTCTACGAAAATATTTAAAGCGTTTGTGAATTTCATGCGATTGAAGGTTAAAGATTCCTTAAATTATGCTTCGAAGCGTACACGTACACGTAGCTAATACTGCTTAACTGAAATAGCCTACATTTTTCATTTTCAGTTGTGCAGTTGTTCATGCCATAGTACTACCTGTATATATTTGAAACGGTTGATCTTGTCATACTAGATTTTCAGCAGTGTTTAATGTATACATAACATGTCATTTTTTTGTCCAGCCCTTAAAAACTGAGCTATTACTACAGTACAGTAGAATTTATTTATTTCAGAAAAACAGACACAGAGATATGTATTGTGGGTGTGCAAAGAAGGTCACGTCTTAAGAAACACTAAAATAGCTTAGTTAAGCACTCTAAACTATACGTACATATTTGAGCATAATTAACGGAACATCAAAAACATTTTTGTAAAAGGGCCACTTAACAAAAACTTGAGAGGTTTATTTTGACTATTTTGCAAACCTAATGCATCACAAAGCATTTAGGGGCCTTAAACCTTGAGATATTGACCTCCCAGATAGATAGGAATTTTATTGTACAATCGTTGATCACATCCCTGTTGACAATTAAGTCATTATCTCGTCGCTTCTTGAAAAAGGGAGAACTCAATGGCTTAGGTGGAGCCACTCTATTTTCTTAACTTTTGACAGATGTCAGTCATGACCATACCTGGAAATGCAGTTACGATTGTTAATTCAAGCTGATAACGAAGACAAGATAAAAAGATTACTGCAGTGATCCACGATTTCAAAGCTACAAGGACGCCAGAGAGAGATCATTAACCTTTTTAGAAAGAGCAAGAGGAGAAGGTAGACTTCATTTGAACTTAGCTGTAGTGCACAGTGCTACATCAACTCTGCTATCAATATTTTGGTCCCGTTCTTTTTTTTAAGAGCTGGAAAACATGGCAGACTCGACAATAACCTTGTATGAGAGTGAACAATTTGGAGGAAGTCGAAAGGTAAGGTATCAAAAGATCAGAACTCAGCTTTATGAACTTATTTTGACTACTATTTAACTTGCTTCATTTATGTGAAACAGCAGTGGTCTCACATATGCATCTATGAAATTGTTCATTGCTGTTCATTGTTGCCGTGTTTTGACAAATTTGTAGTGATTAGTTTGAATTTTTTGTGGTACATCGACTGTTAACAAAAGGAAAATCGTTACTTAACTGCTGTCTGAGCAACTCGATAATCCTGTACTTAACTCTTTAGAGTAATTACTACTCTACATTCGGATGGCCTTTTCTCAGAGAAACCAATTGCTATCCATGACATCACACTCGTAAACGTCTTTCCATAAGCATTTACAAAAAGTGTACAGCTTTTTTACTGGAATTCTCTTTCAGTATCTATCACTAATTCAAGAAAGTTTTAAAATTTTAATCCAAGATGATTGAGTCTCTTATCAACTAGTGCTTCCTTATCCAAGTCATGCATTCATAACTACCTGTTATGGAAGAAGCATCCTACAAAACAAATATGTTTGTTTTAGATTTTCCTCTTTAGTTTTCTATTTTGCTCTTAAAATTGAGTTATTCTCAACGACTCAGATTAAATCTATTTTAGTGATCATGAAATTTATTTACTTATTTCAGACTGGCATAAAAGACGAAATACTGGACCTTAGCCAACCCCCTGTGAGTTTTGCATCTGGAGCTTCTAGTATCAAAATCGGAGCCAACGCTGGAAAGTGGCAGGTCTTTACAGAAAAAGGTTATTATGGACCCCACCAAACTTTGATCCCTGGGATAGAGTACCCCGATTTGCAGTCCATGAAAATCAGTTCCCCTGTCTATAGCCTTCGTAAGGATGTGTAGAAGACAGCACCGAAGACTGCGTGGAAGTTCTCTGAGGCAATCTAACTATGTTAAGAAACTTAAAGTAAAAATAAATCCAAGATTGTTCTTTTGTTCTTGTAATTTGCAAAAAGCTGTCCACGGTCTAATAAAATACTGTTAATCTTCCACCTGTGTAGCCAGAATGTGATTTATTTCGGTTTCGTAAAGATAACTTTAACAAGAAATGATATCATCATGATAATTGGACATCTCATGCACTTGTCCAGTGGATCGGAGTTTTTGAATGACGGGATAATTTACGTTGGTAGGTCATCAAGTGTTTTGGATCTTTTACATTCTACCTTTCCGCCGCGATACTTTTTGCACTGTTTCACTGCGACAAAAAAAAGGAGAAAGGGATGGACACGTTTAGCATAGATTGAAATGACAGACTTGAAAATTGAAACCACAATTTTAAAGATTGTTGAATCAGCGCTTCCACAGTAAAACAGGTTCTCACTAGTAGGTGCAATTTTCCGTTTAGAATATCTACCTCAGTTGTAAAATAAGAACTTGCCGTCAAAGAAAAAGCACTTTTTATGAAAAGAAAAGCGGAACATACATGCACGAGTAATAAATTCTCGCCTTTTTTAAAATAAACAAAACAGAATGGTAAGGTGGTTTGTTTAGACAACCCTGGATATGTGACAATTCGCTGGAAAGTAGTTAAACGCAAGCAAGCGAGCATAAATGAGTATGAGTTTTTCAGCTTTATTCTGTAGTCTAATATCTGGTTTTGATACTTTTCAGTAGATTTTTCCTTGATTTTCTACCTCAACACTTAGGTGGCGAGCAGCCGCTTCGTTGGAATAGATTTAATTTGTCTGATCTTGCCGACCACGACTTAAATTAACCTCGGTGACTCTCTTGTAGAAATATTACTTGTTTAGAGTTGTCCCCTTAGCAATCCACTTTTGTAGGCGCTAACTGTTCCCAGTCATTGGTTTTATTAAATGACTATAAACTTTATCCTTTTTACATTGTACATTTTATATATATTTGACATCTCCTAAGCTTATTTTATTAAGCCGGTACTTATAATTCATTCACTTATTCATTTATTTATCCGATTCTATAAGTTATGAATTGAAGTGTACGTAATTTAACATTATGTTGCTTAGGTATATCTTAATGGGCAAATAGTGTCCCGAATTTATTTTCTTCAAGCTAAAATGAATACTATTAACACTTCTCCTTTATCCTAAAAGTCCTAATTTCGTTGTTTTGATCTCAGCGCCGTGAGCTGTTTCCAGTTGAATTGGGGTTCCGGGCGACAATGAGAACCAAAGACCCGCTCATTTATGCCAAGTCATTCCGCTCGATTTTCCTAATTGTAGCTTTCACTTCCTGTCTTTGCAAATCATACTACTTCCTTAGTTAAAAACTTATACATCACAAAATTGAGAGTAAACTAATGTTTCCCGCGAACACGAAGAGAGAGAGAGAGACTGAGAGGAAACTGGGAGGAAACACAGCTCCAGAAGTTTGCGTTGCAATTGTTAAGTAGTAGTAAGTAAGTAATTTATTTATCCACATTCAGCCGATTCGCCTTTAATCTACCGCTTATAAGCGAAGCTAATTATTCTCAAATTACCGCATACATGCTGATAAAGTAGGACCTATTTACCTACCGAGATTAGATTACCGAGAACAAAACAAAGGCCAAAACAAAACAAAACAAAGGAAAACAAAACGAAGGAAATGATTTCAGAATGTCTTCGGTATCGCAGTCGCACTTGACATGTGGCAAGGTTCAAGCGAAAGAGGAAAATTCATCGCTTTTACATCTGGTAAAAAGAGATCATGGATAAAATTCCACGCGTGAAGATTACTGAAGAACAGAAAAACATTCTGAAATCATTTCCTTTGTTTTGTTTTCCTTTGTTTTGTTTTGTTTTGGCCTTTGTTTTGTTCTCGGTAATCTAATCTCGGTAGGTAAATAGGTCCTACTTTATCAGCATGTATGCGGTAATTTGAGAATAATTAGATTCGCTTATAAGCGGTAGATTAAAGGCGAATCGGAAAAGATTAAGGTGGCAAATACAAGTATTTAGTTTGTAGCTTATTTGATAGACACTCAAAAGGGAATAATTACAACGTCAATAAAGCTGTATTGCGTGAACTTAACACTAAGGTTATTATACTAAAGTACGGCATTTACACTTGGACATCTATTCTGTCTTTCCTACACAACGTTGATTTTATAAATGGCAAAGCACATGTATACATTTCCACTCAACACTCAAAAAACTAAAAATCCTGGATTATACAAGCAGAGTTGTCGTTTTTCCTCATTTGGCCCGCATATTTAAACGGACAGGTCCTGTACTTTCATATCATCTAATTTTTAAAAAGCGAACTCCACCCCTTTGGAAATCATGAGCTTTTTTAAAGCTTTTCACTGAATTAGCGAGGCTTATTTTTCCTTCGTTTGGGTAAGTATCTCCGGGTTTCAAGATAATTTTAGTACCTTTATAGTGAGTTTCTGAGTACAACTCCCAATCAGTTCTGCTGTGCTTATTCACAAATACAGACAAGGCTCCGTCCGGAAAGTGTGCGGTAAAGTCATCACAGCTTTCACAGAACACCTGTGAAAAAGAATTGTGACGGTTATTGTGCTCGTTTTAAAGCCCTTCTAAAGCTCTTCACAGCACTTTTGAGTTCCATAGCACTGACATTAAGGTAATCATTAGGCGCCAGACATGCTGCGTCACCCTGAAACTGTACTTCAGTAAAAACCTGCTTAGGCTCTGAGTCTTCTTCCACCTTGAGGGACAAGACACCTTGAGGAAAATGATTCGTCAAATTCTCACAGCTTGCCCTGAAGTCCTATAAAAGGAGCTTATAAATGATGACTTGTACAGTGAGACAGATAAACAGTATAGAGTCCCAAATGACATCAGTTCGCAGCATTTATCTTATTGCGTAATGCATTACCTGAGAAGTTGAGATCAAAGTCGTGATGCTTTGCAGAAACAAGCAACCGACAACGAACTAAATTCGCTAGGTATAGGATATATTATTCATTGTTCATGTTTGTCTTCTTAAAATCATTAAATCTAAAATACAGAGTAAACATGTCATACCGTTTTATGTCCTTCATAGTCGGCATTTTCGAATAACACTAGTTTTACTTTCTGCAATGAAGTCAGAGAAAATGAATCGAGCGGTTAAACAGATTATAAAACGTCCAAAACTGATTAAACATAAACGTCATTCGCCAAACCTTTGCAATAAATACATTCAGGATGTCAACTTTTTTAAAATAATAGAGACAAAATTTATGCATATCGCAAAATAAGATCTTCATTGACAAAATCATATATTGAAGAATTAAGTCTACCTACAGATGTTTGTGTTCATTAAACAATGAAATATTAAGGAACTTTTTCCAGGGAAATTTCATGAAATGTTGCTTCTATTCCTTAAATTTCTTGTAATACTTACACCCCAAAAGATACGTGAGAACCATCTCTGAGTAGATTCCATTGGAAGTTTTTGCGGTGTATATAGGCAAATATCCTACACTCCTGTCAATCCAGTCAATCTGACAAACCTACAATTCTCAGCACCTGCGATACTTGTTAAGCAGGTTCAGCGGTCTCATATAATTAGCCACCCTCATGATGTGTCCCAGATGAAGAATATCGAGAAATGCTGCAAATTATTACATTACATTTTGTATGGAATTTTCCCGCAAAGTCGGCATAGTCAACATGATGACTGCGACGTATTCTTGGCACGTAAAATAATCAAAAAATTTAGTAAACTGTATGGAAATCACAGATGTTGAACTAATGTGCGTTTCACAGAGAACTTGGCCAATATCATCAGCATGAAGCACTTTGTTGCGTTCAACATACTGATAAAATGCTTCAGTTGCAGTGTAGGCAATTGAGAGGAATTTTTAGTCACGTAGCACCTTTCATTTCAACGATGTGCCGGAGGAATAAGTCTCATGTTGTCTCCTCAGAGTGAAGCAACGAATTATTCGCTTATGATCAAAGGAACAACACACCGGTTCTCGGGAGACCTTTTATTTCCAGTGCGTATGTCCGGTCAAAACCACCAGGTTAAAAAAAGACGCAAAAGAGTTTGATCATAGTCAAATTAATTCGAATAATTCCGTCTCGGAAATTAAAGAAGAAAGGAGAAAGAAATTATTATATATACATATATGTATAGATATAGATGCATTTTATTTGAAGAAAGCTTTGGTCATTTGTAGGAAAATCTGTTGACAAAAGTTTAAGAAGGTAAACAAGCATTATTAGAGATGCAAAAAGGAAAATAAAGAAGTAAGAGATGGGAAAACCACATTTTGATAGATTCTTGAGTCAGCACTTTCTTAGTAAAACGGAGTATCATTCGCACGTGCAATTTTGAATTTACAATTCCTGGCTCAATAATATACAAAACTCGTTGCTAAAACAAAAGAACTTTCCGTAAAAAGAACAGCGGAACACATATGCACGGGTAACAACTTCTTGCCGTTTAAAGAAACAAAACGAAATGATTAAGTGATTTTTTCAGTTGACCACCCCGGATAAATGATAATTTGCTGGAAAGTAGTTAACCACAAGCAAGCGAGCATAAATGCGTTCTTCAGCTTTATTGTGTAGTCTTTTATCTTTTATTCGATACTTTTTTATTGGATTTTTCCATAATTTTTACCTCAACACGTCTAATGAGCAACGCTTCATTGAAATTGATCGAGACCTCTTTCAAATTGATTTCATATGCCTTGGTGACCCTCCTCTTGTAGAACACGTGCAGATATCCTTGCTTTTACTTGTTTAGAGTCGTTCCTATGGTAATCCACTCCTACAGGCGCTGACTGTTCCTAGTCATTGGTTTTTGCACGACTGTAAACTTTCTCCTAAATGACCTACTTTCGTTATTTTGATGTCGACACCGTTAGCTTGTTCCAGTTGAATTGGGGTAAATTATCACATTTTTACATTCCCCTTTCACTGCCATCGCTCAACTCATGTTTTTAGCGATATATAGAGTTTCTTTTGTATTTAAATGATCGCTAACGGTTCATCCGTTTTGACCCTTCAAAGTATTTGTAACTGGTAAACACGAAACCAATATCGTCACAAGCAAGATTTACATTGGTTAATCAAAAA